CAAGCATTTTAAGAACAGAACTCCTCAGCAGAGGGATGAAGAATGAGACAACTTTGGGTGGACATTTCAACAGATGGGAAAACTAAATTCTCCAAATCCCTTCCCCCACAGACAAGCATATTTTCTCTGTCTCTCGATGTAAGTTGTTCAGCACGTAACCCACCCATGGCAACAAGGTTATCATAGTTTCTTGCACTTGTCTCTGGCTCCGGTGACTCACCTGGGTTCTGGAAAAGAGGCCAGTGAGTGTCTGCAACACTTTCATGCATCTATTTCTAGCTCCTACATGCTGGAGCACAGGCACAGAGGCATCCTGCTTCTCCCTTGGTGGGTTATCTGGAATATCATAATATCCGGGACCTAATGGGAACCAGAAGGAGCTCTGGTAGTGTAGTGGTTACGAATTGGGCTGCGAACCTCAGGGTCAGCAGTTCGAAACTACCAACTGCTCCGCGGGAGAAAGATGAGGCTTTCTGCTCCTGTAAAGATTTACAGCCTTGGGAACCCTGTACAGGGTCACTGTGAGTCGGAACCGACTCCACGGCACATAACAACAACAACAACAATGGGAACCAGAGATCCCTGGGTGGTGGCGCAAACATTTTGTGCTCAACTGCTGATCTCAAGGTTGGCAGTTCAAGCCCACCCAGTAGCACTGTGGAAGCAAACCTGGTGATCTTCTTCTATAAAGGTGACAGCTAAAATAACCTGATGAAGCAGTTCTATCCTGAGACACATGGCTAGCCATGAGCTTGAGTCAACTTCATGGCAACCGTTTTTTGTTAAGTGAACCATGTCTAGGATCTAGGATGGGATATTTGAAATCAGAAGCAGAATGAGTGATGTTTTCGTCTCATTTCTCATGAACTTTTATTTTTTCTCCCTTCTTGTATATTCCAGGTGTACGTGTCTTATGACTATGGAAAATCATTCGAGAAAATCTCAGAGAAGTTGAACTTTGGTGTGGGAAATAGCACCGAATCTGTCATCTCCCAGTTCTACCACAGTCCTGCCGACAACAAGCGTGTAAGGAAGCTGCTCTGCAATTCCATGGGGGTAGACTTGGGGAAGTGTGCCGCACTGACTGTCTCTGTGTGCCCTTGGCAGGAGGACTAGTAGCTAACCTGGGTGTTTGTACAATTCCCAGGAGGCCGGCTCATGGCCAGATGGGATTTCAATCACACACCGTCGCAAGTTCGGCCACAGGGAATCGGCCTCATGACATGTGGCAAAATGTCGAAGTCTAGTGCCATCATCAGTATGTATGTGAGTGAGTGACACAGGTGTGTGTGTGTGTGTGTGTGCTTGTATATTTTATACACTTCTCTCCCCTGTGTCTCTGTACCTGTGCTGGTTTACAAAAGAAAACCAAAGCAGTAGACATTACTGTGCCTCCTTGATCTGTTTTTCCAGCTGGCTGGCCTGTGGGCTCTGTTTCTCCAGTAGAAGCTGAGAGTCTTGATTCAGAGGAACCTTGTTGAGAGTGCCCTCAGCCCCAGGGAATTGGAGGGGGGAGGGCAGTAACCAAGACCCTACAAAGCGTTCCTGCCAGCTGATCAGTTAGATCGCTCTTTGCTCTTCGTTATTTGATTTCTTTCTCTTCTGATCATGTGCTGCCTAGTTCATTTCCAGGGTCAGCTAACTTCCTGTAAGGATGTTGAAAAACTCCTTAGTAATAAAAGCTTTTCAGGGTAAGGGCAGTTGCTGCTCCCTGCACATACAGAAGGAAAGACAGAGGAAGCTCTACTTGGCCCTCTACTTGCCATGTCTCAGTGCTGTTTTCTCAGGTTGCCTCTGTTTTTAGCAGGGGCTGTACTCAAAATATTTAGTGAGTGCAATGGCATGGACACTGGCCAATCAAAACAGACCCTGTCCAGTGTGAAATGGGTCCTGGGGCCTCTGCTAGACAGGAATTAACCTTTAAGTTGCTGGATTGTGGGAGAGTCTTGAGCTAAGACTATTGGAGCTGTAGAAGTTTTATCTATTTTGTTGTTGTTTTAAATGACAAGAATAGTCATTATTGGTACATCCTGGTGTGGCACTGTGAGTTCATGCACTGGTCTGTGAGGTCGGTGTGAACTAAAGGTTGGTGGTTCAAGCTCACCAGCCGCTCCTCAGAAACCCCGCACTGGGTTACTGTGAGTCAGAACTGACTCGACGGCACTTAACAACAACAACAACAACAACAACAACTGATTAAATACCCCTGACTAATGAATTCAAAGGAATCCTGGTACAGTGCCGTAGGATACAGCAAGGTCAGTTTGAACTGCAAGGTTGGTGGTTCAGGTTTACCAGCTGCACCTTGGAAATCCTATACAGGGTCACTATGAGTTGGAACTGAGTCATTGGCACTTTCCAACAACAGCAGCAGTGATTTCAAAGGAGCTTTGGTGGCACTGTAGGGTAAGCACTGGACTGCTAGCTGCAAGTTTAAACATGCCAGCTGCTCTTCTAAAACCCTATACAGGGTTGTTGTGAATTGGAACTGACTCGATGGCACTTAGGAACAAACCAAGATGGTCTTAAAGGAGTTCTGGTGACACAGGAGGATAAGCACTGGGCTGCTAACCCCAAGGTTGGCAGTTTAAACACACCAGTTGCTCCATGGGAGAAGATGAGGCTTTCTGCTCCTGTAACGATTTGTTGTTGTAAAGTGCCATCGAGTCGGTTCTAACCCATAGCGACCCTGTATAGGGTTTCCAAGAAGCCGCTAGTGAGCTTGAACCACCAGCCTCGCAGTTCAAACTGCTTTGCAGTCTTGCACATTAAACCACAGCGCCACACCAGGACTACAATGGAAAATCCTGTACAGGGTCGCTATGAGTCAAAATTGACTCATTGACACCTAAGAACAACAACAATGATCTCAAAGTGGAACATCAGCTAGGAGCAAACTCCCCTCTCTTAGGGTCTTAGCTCTAGGGTCACAAAGCATGCCCCGCCCCCACCCACGGGATAGACAGGAAGGAGAAGGTGTTGGAAGGGTTTGGCTACAAAGACATGAGTACTGGGCTTCAGCACCCTCACCCCTATGCATTGTGGTCAGTCAGGCCTGCTGCTAGGGCTCCTCAAATTGGGTAAGTCCTGCTGCCCTGTTTGTTCTTGGCTCTTCTGGGGTAATGGGCTTTGTTGAGCTTACTGGCTGTGCTTCCCACCTGTGTATGGCCCTCCATGTCTCACCTTCCAAGAATCCTGAAATGCTTGGATTACTTCTTTGGCCTGATTGCTATTACTATCGTTAATTTTGCACCATGTCTCAGAGCCAACTCTTGCTGAAGTTGTGGCTGAGACTATGTTGGTAGCTTGGATACTGTGTATGGAAATGGTCGTGGGTTCCCTCTGGAGTCTACCTTTTTAACTTAGTGTATTCCTCTGCACCTCCAACATACCTTTTTACCAAAGTGCATAGATGGCTAAGCAGATTCCATCTTCCTTCCTGCTTCTCCTGGGCTGTAGCGAGCAATTGCTTCTACCCTATAACTGAGAAGTGAGATGACAGGAGGAAAGTTGGCACTGTGGACTTGTAGTGGAGGGAGTTGAGTGCAGGGAGACGGAGACACAGAGCAGCTGGAGAGGGAGCAGAGCCTGGGCCCTGGTGTTGGGGCAGGGAGCTCCTCAGGGAGCTCAGGTGTGACAAGTTGAGATGGGAGGTGTGCTGGCAGTGGAAGTGCTGTCTGCTTTGAAGAGTGATTGAGTTTAGATTGAGGCTCTGGAGTTGGTGGGATGGAGAGTCAGTCAATGGTCCTGATGGGTAGACCTTGGGCTGAGTGAGGTGAGGGAGGCTGCGTCTTCCACAGAGTTTTTGATTCCCCAGGGAGGGCTGTTACTCCTCTCCAGACTTCTCAGGAAGGAAATGATGACTGTTATAGTGCCAATTGCATTTGTTACTTTTGCTTTTGTTCCCTGGAAGGGAAATAACCCTACAAGACCTTCCACTTCCTGAGAAACATCGCTCAAAGTTGGTTGCCTTGCTGCAAGTACCAGGGTGCAGGGCCCAGACAGACCATCAGTTGTGTAGAGAAGTTAGGTGGACTGGTGAGTGCCACATGTAGTGGTTGGAATGTGGGGTAGCAGGGGTTCCCAAAGGTTAAGGTGTCAGGAAAGGGCCACATGGAAATCTGAAGGTCCTTGCTAGGTGACCCATGAGATGGAGTGGTGTTTGTGTCTGTTCTAGCACTAGCTAGCACTTCTCCTTCCTTCTCTCGTATCCTATGTTCTGGTTCCCTGAACCAGTGCAGCTCTTACCATGTGTAAGACTCCCAGTATAGGTCAGGCAGGATCTAAATATGTCTGAGATCATAGAAAAAGTCGCTAAGTGTACAGATGGGCTTCACAACCTCAGTAGAAGTGAGAGCTGATCCTGTCTTTTCCAGGCAGTGGTTGATCCTAGGCAAAACTAGAAAAAAAATTCTCTTTGTTCCTTTGTTTCCATGTCCTAGAGGTCAGCTGCTTCATTTCTCCACTGCCCTTCTTTCTCTCACTGTTGTCTTGACTTCTCTACTTAAAACTGGGAGAGAGAGAAAAAAAAAAGACTGATGCTAACATACAGATAAATTCTATAGCTTAGTTTGCTCTCTTTCCAGAAGTATTTGTATTTTAAGGGGAAACACAGTTTTAGGCAGAAAAAGAAGCTTCTCTCGAATATTAAGTGATTGCAAACAGGGATGGAGAAGGTTGGGGTATAGGAGCAGTCTCCTGCAGCTACATAGGTTAGGTCTCTGGGTGGTGTAAATAGCTAATGCGCTCAGCTGCTAAAAGATTGGAGGTTTGAGTCCATTCTGGGTGCTTTGGAATAAAGACCTGGTGATCGATTTCTGAAAAGTCAGCCCTTAAAAACACTATGGAGCACAGTTCTACTCTGACACATGTAGGGAAGCCATGAGTTGGACCAACTGGTTGACAACTGGTTTGTTGTCTTAGGCAGTGCCCAGCATGTCAGCTTTGTGGGCTAATATGTGGTTGACCTAGAGTAAACTTGACAGCCTGGCAATAGTGGGCACCCAAAAGCAGACTGAGCAGAACATCCTGTGCTTCCCTAAGGGTGCATGTGTTGACACGGCAGCGTGGGACACCACATGGCTATGTGATGGATGTAGCCTACAGAGCTGTGGGAGTTGAATGAGGCTGGCTCAGAGAAGGAAGGGCTTTGTGAAGTCATCAGGGTTGGAAATGGATAGTCGAGTGTTGTGTGATTGCTATAGGAAAGGCAGAGTTGCTGGAGCCCCTTAGAGGAGAAAGATGTGAGCAGAGAGAGAGTCTGTGGTGCTGACATGAAGGTTTCTTGGAGGACAGTGAGGTAGTTAGCCTCTCAGAGGTGGAGGGTTAGCAGTGGTGCTTTGGCAGATCAGCCAGGCCTCCCATTTGAAGAGGGAGGAGATTTTTATTCCTCATGGGCTTTGGAAACCATGGAGGAATTTCTGAGTAAGAAGTAACTGTGAATAGTGTCTTTGAGGGAAATGTATCCCCTGGCCCAGAGGAAGCAGTGATTAATGGTAGACTTTTTGCATCCATGCATGAGACTGTTTGATTTCTGCCCACACACCTTATTCCCAGCTACCTACTGTCTGTCAGTGGAAGCTTGCATGTTGCCATGATACTGAACACATTTCAGCTTCCAGACTAATACAGCCTATAGTAAGAAAGACCTGGTGATCTACTTCTGAAAAATTAGTCAGTAGAAACTCTATGGATCACAACAGAATATTGTCTGATATAATGCTAGAAGATGAGCCCCTTAGGTTGGAAGGCGTTACTTACTGCAACAAATGGACTCTAACTAACTGGGTAACATTTTGTTCTGTTTATATGAGTTGCAACTTGTGCCCATAACTAACAACATGTAGTAATGTGCATGATGACTTGGAAGAGAAAGACTAGAGAGTCTAGAGAGAGACCCATTGTGTCAGTATAGGTATGACTTGACTCAGTCACTCAACTAGAATCTAATGTCACCTCCTGAGTATTATATTCCCTGCTAGGATGATGAAGACTCAGTGCCTGTTCCTAAGCTATTGACTACCTCTAGTAGGGATACGGGCCATGCTGGTAGCCTTACGAATAAAAAGAAAGATGAGATTTTGAAAATACTTTAAAAAGGAAACAATAGGATAGTTGAGTGATTGAAAGTGAGGGCTGAAGGCAGGGAATGAGGTCAAATCCAGACTCTGAGTTAGTTGGACTGGGAAATAGCATGGATAGAAATTGGGAAGTGGGGTGGGAGAATTGGCTATTGTTGTTGGGATGGTGTTGAAGATTAAGTTTTGGACATGATGAAACATCTTGACATTTCAGAGTGGAAATGCTGAGAAGGTAAAGAGGGTAATTAATGAAAGTAGAGTCTGAATATGAGAAGTCTGGTTGTACTATAGATCTGAAAGTCATCTAAGGATAAGCCAAGTTTGTAGAGCTAATGATAGAAGGGTAACTATTGAGGTTACTGGAGTAGTACGCAGATGAAGACAAAGAGCCAGCACAGGTGATGCAAGGAGAGATGGGCAGAAATAGTTGGCTGGAGGGTTGAGATGGTACATGTCATAGAAAGCAAAGGAAGAGAGAATTTTCAGTATTCAAGGAGAGGATTAAGCGAGGAGATACACAAATTCAGGACATGTAGCCTCTTCATTTGAAGAAGAGAAACAGGATTGAAAAATTGTTCAAGAGATGGACTCTGGAGCAATGCTTCTAACTGGGTTCATCATGGGGGATGCCACACAATCAGAACAGAACCAGCTTTGTGAAATCTGTAAAATGATAACTGTTCTAGGGACAGGAAAAATTACAGGTTGAAGCCCTGGAATGTGAGCCTCAGAATCTGTGTAGTGTAGACAGCGCTTTCAGGAGCCTGATGCAGGAGATGGGATTAATGCCACGAGTGGTGAGTGATACACATTCAGGGTAATGTGACCACCTGCTGTCTTTGGGGCGCATTGTTGTTTCCGACTCAACCTGTAGAGATTTGGTTGCTGTGTTGCCCTTGTCCTTTAAGAGGGAGATTAAGGTTCTAGCAGAGCATGGACCCGTTAGTTTTTCTGTTCTGGATATAGTTCTGGTACTTCGACATTTTACAGACTCAGTCCTATTCTTGTTTCACTTCATTGGCCATGACTGAATCAGGAAGAACCTGGTTTGAAGCTCTGCTCTGGAGCCAGACAGACAATGACGTAAGTGCTGCCTGCTAAATGTCTGCCATTGGGCAGTTAGCTTGAGTGAGTTAAGTTTCAGGAGTAAAAGTGAGGCTAAAAGTAATACCTAAAGGAATGATTTGCTGTAAGGACTAAATTACGATAAGGCAGACAAAACTTATTCAGAGCTCGGCACATAGCTGGTACTCTCGAACAATGACAGGATCCATGGATTTTAGCTTCTTAAATGTATACAGAAAGCTGTAGAAATTGTAGATTTCAGGTGAAATCTCAAATTGAGAACACTCCCATCAATATTCTTGATGGATCAAGAGCAGGAAAATGGTCTAAGGTATTTCTAGGGGACACTTTCATGGTAAACATGATGATACTCTTCGGATAGTAACTATATTATTACATTTACTTATAAAGCAGTTTTGGCTTTCAAAACATTGACTGCTCTTTTCATTTAGATTTCATTAGACTTCTGCAGAGTTCGGAGTCCTGGTACGGCGCTGTGGGTTAATGCGCTGGACTGCAAGTTTAGTTTGAACCACAAGGTTGGCGAATCAAGCTCGTCAGCTGCTCCTAGGAAACCCTATATAGCGTTGCTATGGGTCAAACCGACTCGATGGCACTTAACAACAAAAACTACAGAGTTTGGAGTTCTGTATTAGACACCACTGAGGAAACAAACACAAAAGAAAGAGGACACATAAAATACACTCCTGGGAAGGCCAGTCTCAGGGAAACGATTGCAAGTGAAAAAAAACTGAGGAACGTATGAAAGTAACATGTGAACCCATGGGAAGTACTAGTTCAGGCTGAGGCTGTCAGTGCTGAAAAGACTCAGAGCAGAGGATTGATCTGGGTCAGGTGCAGTCAGTTAGGGAAAATGCCCTGACAAGTCCTTTGTATTGGTTTTATCTCCAGGGTTGAAATGTGCCTGGTTGTTGGTCACCCTTTTTCTAGTTTCTGGTTCACTGTGTAGTCCCCTAACCTCCCTGTCCCTCTGGCAGCCTTCCAGGTTTCTCCTGTATATCCAAATTTTTTCATCAACTGAGCTTCCAGCCTTATTTTCTTTCATCAAATCCATGCTGTATTTCTACCCCCTCTGTGTCTAAACTCAAATCTCCCTAAACCTGGGTTGTTCTTTGCCTGTAGAAACCTTACCTGCCCACCTATTTCATGGAGTCATTTTTCACCTCTCAAGCTACAACTAACCTGCTACCATCTAGGCTTTCATAGGAAGGACTCTGTCCATTGTTTCTTATTTGACCACATTTCCCTTGAATTTGGCCCGTAGTTAGCAGGGGCATGTCTTCTGCCCACTGGATTGCAGGTAGATTGAGTGGAAGGACCCTGTTTTTACACTGTACAATCCTTAGTGTTGAATTTCCAACATACGTCTGTGAAACTGAATTGACTTGAGGCTTTCCCCCTAGAGAACTCCTTAGGCTAGTCCCTCTTCAGCCAAACTTGGTACAAGTCACTCGCCCATGAAGGAGCAAAACAAGGCAGGGCCCCTGCTCACCAGAGCCACTTCCTGCTCTGCCCAGGCAGGGTGCCAGATGCAGGGCCGCCTGATCCCCAGAGCTGTTGTGCCACCTGGCATAGTAGTAAGAAACTTGTCGTCCTGGGTGCCTGTGACTTTAAAAGTTTTTCTGGAATGCCGTGTCCTGAGCCACTCAGAGCCTGTAGGACACACATGGATTGCAGTTCCATCTGTGCACACTCATCCTCTTACTGCTTTCTCAGTTCAGCCAAACTGAAGAGCAGGACTGCTTTGTCCCGGCTGCCAGCAGTGACCCTCTGGTTGGAACTGAGGCACTCACCAGGGAGTAGAATGGCCAAGTCAATTGAGAGAAAAATAAATAGATACAAAAAAAAGGCATTGGCTAGCTTCATTACTTGACTAAACAAGACCAGTCTGTGGCCCCACTCCGGCCCTTCTCTCAAGCCTTCTTTTGCTGAGTCTTGTTTGTGAGTACAAGCATCTTCCCATTGCCTGGGCAAGGTAAGGAAGCCGTTGTGAAGGCCCCATAATCCCTGGTCCCTGCTTAGTGTCGCTCTACCCCTGCCCACACTGTTCGGGGAAGGTGTCAGGTGGCTTTGACCAAGTCCTGCTCTGAGCGCATATGCTTTCTTTTGCAGTACATCTTTGCAGATGCGTATGCTCAGTACTTGTGGATCACATTTGACTTCTGCAACACTGTCCATGGCTTTTCCATCCCATTTCGAGCAGCTGATCTCCTCCTACATAACATGGCCTCAGATCTTCTCCTGGGATTTGACAGGTCTCACCCCAACAAGCAGGTAAGAGCACTTTCTGGGACACAATAGTGTGAGGGCACCTCCTGTTTTCTTCTCTGCCTGTGTGGACTATGTGCCCTCTGAGTGACTTCCCCTCAGTCTCTCCCTTCCCTCTTCCCTCTTCCCTCCCTTCCTCCCTCTCGGGCTTAGCTTAGTAGCAGCTGTATCACTTACCATGGCTAAGAAAAAAATATATATATACTCATGGTACTCTGCATCCAAGCCAGGGATCAACACCCAGCACTTGACAGGCTTGTTAGTTACACGTCCTGCCCTTCTAAAGTGCAGATACACCTTTGTTAGCCCTTGGGATAAACCAAGGCCCTGAAATTTAATCAGGGAGAAGAGCTAGTTAGAGAAGTCTAGCATCTAAGCCCTGGAATCTCTCTACAACCTTCTTTCTACCTTCCCCATCCTCCACCTTAAACATACTGCTTCTGCCTAAATTAGTTTGGTGTTAACGTTAGCTTTGATATTCTGCCTTTGTGTGTGTGTGCATGTAAAATATAAAAGTGTGTATTTTCCTCTTTTAATCCAGGTTACAAGGAAAGGGGAGAGATGGGGAGAGAACTTGATTTATACTTCAAAAGCTGAAATTTGCCAAGTCAAGAAATACTGACCTGGCATAAATCTAAAAAACTTGCAGATCCTGTACGATTGGATGTGTCACTTTCCAATGTATGAATGTGTTTTGGCCAATGGAATGTTTAGTACTTGAGAATGTCTTTTTTTCTTTTTTCCTTTGTGAGTTGTTTAACCAAAACATGGTCTGTTTACCTTTGCTTACCTTAGGGAGTAGCCGAAGTTTGAGCTGGGTCAATTTACCAGTACTCTTGTTAATTTTGGTGTTTGCCTCTTACTACATGGTCAGAGGAAAGAGTTCCAAGGTGTGCAAACAGTTAACCTGCTCAGCTATTGACTGAAAGGTTGGAGGTTCGAAGTCACCCAGAAGCACTTTTAATTGTGAGAAATCAGCCGTTGAAACCTTATTGAGCACAGGTCATAAGGTCATCATGAGTCAAGAGTGACTTGACAGCACTGGTTAAGACCAGAGCATCCTCCTTAGGTTAGGTCTTCAGAAGTTATGGGACTTTGGCAAAGATGAGTAAGTTAATTACTCATGAGCATAACCCACGTCTTTGGATCATTCCCTTTGATAGCCTTTTGCTTTATACTTAGTTCTCTCCATTATTTTTTAATCACCATGGCTCATTAGACATCTGCAAGGACATTGCTTTCCCAGGAAAGAAGTGCCAAGTATGATCCTTTTTTTCTAACTATCACTTAGGAGCTAGTGTTGAGTAAAGTGTGAGTTCTGATAACCCACAAATGAGAGACAAGTCACTTAAGAGCATTAGTGACTGCGGAGAAGAACGCAAAGATAATAAATTTGTCCCTCCTTCCCTGCCCTTGTTTAGAGCCTCTGTGCTGGTTCACTGATCTTGGTGTCTGTTTTCAGACAACGTGTTATGTAAGGCAGGTTTCGGTAGGTGTTTGATTGTGGTGTGATTCAAGTTGTACCTGTCTCTTAATGTCACTGCCACTTCAGTGTCGCTTTGATCTTTGCAGCTATGGAAATCAGATGATTTTGGTCAGACCTGGATCATGATTCAGGAACATGTCAAGTCATTTGCATGGTAAGTTGTACCATCTCCTTTCTCCATTTCTGTCTCCTTCATGTGGACACACCTTCTGCCCTCTCCTGAGAGGTTAAACATTTAGTTTGGGAAAGGCATTTTTCAGACCTAGGAGGTACAGCTTCAAGTATAACAGACTCACTAAGGGGTGGTGCTGAGGGTTAGGCATTGGGACAGTGCTACAAGTACAATGGTTCAAACCCACCAGTTGCTCCATAGAAAGAGGAGGCTGTCTGCTCACATAATAATTCACAGTCTTAGAAACCTACATTGGGTCTCTGTGAATTGGACTTGCTCCGATGGTACTAAGCTCTAGGGGGCTTGAGAAAGAAGGTGCGTGGGTGAAAGAGTTGTAGAACTTCTTCCCTTTTTCAACCCAATAGAAAATCTTCAAGCTTGAGCATGAAGTAAAATTTCTGAAGATTTAAATTTTTTATAGTATTGTGTTACAAGTAGAGTCCTGGTATGGCACTTTAGGATAAGCTTTGAACTGCAAGGTTGGTGGTTCAAATTCATCAGCCACTTCTTGGAAACCCTATGCAGGGTCTCTATGAGTCAGAACTGACTGGGTGGCACTTAAAACAGCAACATATCGCAAAGGGGAATTTTTTCTATATAACGTTCCTTCATTTGTCCATTCCTTAGAAATATATGTATAGATTTAAAAATCTGCTAACATAAAACATGCTGATGATTTAGGGCTTAAGAAGTTGAATAACGTATGGATATATAGTCATTGGAGTAAGGAGCTCTGGTAGCGTAGTAGTTACGATTCAGGCTGTGAACCACAAGGTCAGCAGTTTGAAACAACCAGCTGTTCCGTGGGAGAAAGATGAGGCTTTCTGCTCCCATAAAGATGTACAATCTTGGAAACCCTGTACAGGTCGCAGTGAGTTGGAACCGATGCCACAGCACATAACAACAACAACATAGTCATTGGAGTAGTCTTGGTGTGGTACTGTAGGATAATGTACTGAACCACAAGGTCTGTTTGAAATGCAGGGTCAGTGGTTCAAACACACCAGCTGTTCCTTGGAGACACAATACAGGATCACTTTGATTCGCACTTTGATTCGGATCCGATTTCACTACACTTAACAACAACAAAAGCAAAATACTCATTGGGATGGAGTCCTGGTGGCACTGTGGGCTAAGTGTTGGACTGTTAACTGCAGCGTCATCAGTTCAAACCCACCAGCCGGTCTGTGGGAGAAAGATGAGGCTGTCTTGGTCCTGTAGGGTCCCTTTGAGTTGGAATCAGCTAGCTGGCAGTGGGTTGCAGTCACAGGAGAGACTGCAGTTGGAAGGGAAAACAAGACATTCATGTAAGTAGTAGACATACAAGAAGCACAGAAGTAAAAGATAACAGTACAGGAAGCCAGAGGAGGCTCATACATACTGCTTCCAGGTGGGAAGATCATGGAAAGCTTCTTGGGTGAAGTCGCTGTTGAGCAGGGTATGGACACCAGCTCAGATGCATCATTCAGAGGTGTGGGGAAAAGGAATTGTAGGCAGAGAACAGAATTGGCCAAAGGCACGAAGAGGAGATGTGGTTGGTGTTTGTGGGGAGAACATTAAGTCTTAATTTTGGACAGTATTCGGTGAAGTTTGAAAAGGAAAGTTGGTGCCAGAATGTTCAATACTTGATAAAGGGATTTGGACTGAATACTGAAGGCAGTGGGGAGCCATTATAGATTTTTCAGAAGGGGCATGGAAAAGAAGTAGGGGTGCAGGAAATGCAGTTGTTTTGTTTTGCTCTTTTGTTGTTGCAATGTCACAATATGTAATTGTGACTATAAGAAGTTTTCATGCACTGGTGAATGCACAGGGCACAATCACCAAGAGTGGGGTTGCTGGGCCAGTGAGTACATCTGTTCACTTGTACCTGGGTGACTTAGAGGTGTCACCAACTTGATGCTAATCAAATTGACTATCTTCACTGCCCCAAACCTCCTCCACCCAGAATCTTCTCAATTTCAGTGAGTAGAAAACCGTTTTTCTAGTTGCTTAGGCCAAAAATTTAGGACTTGTTGCTGATCTCACCTTTGTTTCAAGCTGTATAGTCAACCTATCAGCTTTGCTCAGCCTTCAGAATACATCCAGGACCTACTACTCAGTTACTACTTTACTCCAGACTGTTTGTGTTACTCCTTAGTCTCTGTGATAGGTAAGGTTTTGTGTTAACTTCGCTGGGCCTGGATTCTCAGTGGTTTGGCGGTTAGGATATAGTAATTTCTCCTGATGAGATCTAATATGATATAATCATTCCTCATGATGGGATTATTCTCACTTTCATTGTGTTAATGAGGATCAGCACTGGACTTTGAACCACGAGGTCAGCAGTTCAAACACAGTGCTCTGAGTTGGAACTGACTCAACAACACTTAACAACAACAGCGGTGATGTTAACGATGCTGAATGCAATCAACAGTATTAGTTTGTATCTTTCATCAATCTCTTGTGAGATATAGATGATATGAAACAGGAAAGCAGGGCTCAGAGGAACCTACTACTACCTAGAAAGATGAGCTGGGAGTCGAGTGCGTCCTTTGGGTCTGTGGTCCTTGCATTGTGAAGCAACTAGAACCACAGGGAGACTGATGCCAAGATATCTAGAGATCTCCAAAGAATTTTGAGCCTACAGATGCTGAAAAAAGACAAGGACCTTTCTCCAGAGCTGACAAAGAGAAAAAGTCTTAAAGCTGGTCTGGTACTCTGAATTTGGAATACTAGCTTCCTGAACTGTAAGAAAATAAATTTCTGTTTGTTAAAGGCATACACTTGTGGCATTTCTGTTATAGCAACACTAGAGAACTAACAAAGTCTCCCAGCTGGTCTTTCTGCTTCCAGTCTTATTTTTCCATAGTCTATTCTCAGAAGAATTGATCTTGTTAAAAACAAGTCAGATCACATCGCTTCTCAGGTCATCTACTAATGCATCATTGTACCTCTCAGATTAATGCTAGGCATCTTTCTACCACAGGGCCTTTGCACATGCTATTCCATTTGCCTGAAGTGCATTTATGCCAGATGTGTAGTTGAGTCTCATTATTAGTGAGAATTATGCTCTGTAAAATTGCTGCAAGTACTCAATTAGCAAATGCTGCACCGTTGCTAAGAGGAAATCTGAGGTTAGTTTCCCGAGAACCAATACATGCGATACATGTTGTACACAATGTACAATACATATAAACACATAAACTGTGCTTCTTTTGAATATACCATATCTAATGTATATAGTTGACTTTGACGTTTAATTGCCTATAGCACTATAACTCATGCCTGAAAGATGCTTGTCTAACACATGTATTCTCCCAGTGAGGCAGTATAACTCATGCCTGAAAGATGCTTGTCTAACACATGTATTCTTACACTTAGGAACACTAACTAGGTAGCATTTCATCACTACGTTTTAAAACAGTGACATCACCAATGAACAGTACAAAAATGCAAAAAACGTGGCACTAAATAGACTGGGCAAAGGACACTTGCTTACAGTACCAGAAACTGAAGCAAGAAGGCAGAGCATTGTCTCCTTGTTCATCCTGAGCTGAAATTGTGCAAGTTGGATGAACTCAGATTTTTCTGTGCTCTGCACATGTTGGTGAATAACTGAACATATTCACCCACAAGTATTGACTTTTGCGTTGCAAGGAAACTTTGGCGAGTAGGTGAGTTTTAAAATGCAGAGTCTGAACAATGGAGCTCCATTCTACTTATGGGAGGATGGTGTGGGACCAGGCAATGTTTAGTTCTGTTGTCTTGTTGAGTTCCATCGAATCGATTTCTACTCAGAGCGACCCTGTATAGGGTTTCCAAGGAGCGGTTAGTAGGCCAGTGCTTTTTCTGCAGCATACCCAGGCTCACGATTGGAACTGGCTCCTAACCACACCTGACCACAACTGTACTTATGGTGCCCCCAGGTGGTGCAGATAGTTAACAAGCTCAGGTGCTAACTGAAAGGTTGTAGGTTTAAGTCCACCCTGAGATACCTCAGAAGAAAGACTGGAGATTTGCTTCTGAAAAATATACTGTTGACAAACCTATGGAGCTCCACTGAGTTGACTTGATGGTAACTGCTTAATCCCATTCTAATCTATTATGTTATTTTCTGAATCAGCTTCTTCAGAAGAACGAAAACTCCATATGGCAGAGGTTTTAGTTTTGTGCAACAATATAGCTCCAGGGAGTGAATCACTGGATTTGTAACTTTGATAGATATTATCAAATTTTCTAGAATTTGATAGATAAGTGGCAAATTTGGTAGAATGTGTCAAAATTTGCACATGCCTCAGCAATATAGAATAGTACTTCTCTCTTCACTGCCAATCTGTTAGGTAAGAAATAGTATTTAGTGCAGTTTCAATTAATATTTTTTTTATTAAGAAAGTTTGAACATAAACTTATCTGTTGAAGAGTCATTTATATTTATTTTTATGAAATATTTTTTCATGTTCATTGTCATTTTTTGTTAGTCTTTTTCTGCTTGATTTCTAAGATTAATTCTTTGTTACATTATATAAATGTATATGATAATGATATTTTGTTAAGTGCTGTCGAGTTGGCCCCGAATCATAGTGACCTCGTGTAGGTTTCCAAGGTTGTACATTTTTGTGGGAGCAGACAACCTTGTCTTTCTCCCAACGAGTGGTGGGTGAGCTCAAACTGCTTACCTTGTGGTTCCCAGTCCAGTGCTTATCCTACGGAGCCACCATGCTTCTATGATAGGTTGTTGTTAAGTGCCATCGAGTTGGTTGCTTACTCATAGCAATCCTATGTAAGGTTTCCTAGTAGCACCTGGTGGGTTTGAGCTGCCGACCTTGTGGTTCAGTCCAGTGCTGATCCTACAGCGCCATATGTGTATGTGTTTATATTTGTGTTTGGATTTTTATATACAGTTTTATTTCTCATTAGATGCTCTGGTCAAGCAAAGCTTAGAGACTTTTTGTGCTTCCTTTAGCTCTTTGTTTGAAGGGAGGTGTCTGTGGGTCAGTGTTGTGTACTTAGTATCTGAGGACAGTGCAACTGAAGCAGGTCGAATGCCTTGTAGCTGAATATCGGTTGCTCCAGTGGGATTTCTTGTTTGTGACCCTCTTCTTGTTACTTCTGTTGGTTAGCGGTTGTGTGGTCTTAGTGAAATTAACCACCATAGGCCCATCCAAATAAAACTCCTATCCGGGAAATATCATTGTAACTTTTCTTTTGCTTTATTTGAATTTTATAGGGACAAATTGTTTTTTTTATCTGTTTACACCAAAACCAAACCTATTTCTGTAGTGTTGATTCAGATTCATAGTGACCATCTAGGACAAGAGTAGAACTGTCCTATAGGGTTTCCAAGGCTGTATATCTTTAGGAAAACAGACTGCACATCTGTCTCCCATAGAACAGCTGGTGAGTTCAAACCACCAAAATTTTGGCTATCACCCAAGTGTTTAACCTTTGTGCCACCAGCCTCCTTTGATCTGTTTGTTGTTGTTGTTAAGTGCCATTGAGTTGGTTCCAACCCATAGCAACCCTGTATAGGATTTACGAGGAGCAGCTGGTGAGCTTGAACTTCCGACCTTGCATTTCAAACTGACTTTGCAGTCCAGTGCATTAACTCACAGTGCCACACCCATATATTAAATGGCACATCAGCAGGACAGTTGAAGAAAGAAACTTCACATTAGATAACTTATAGATTATACTTTCTGCCTCAGTGTAAGACATGCAGACATCTTAGGGGAAAAACTGTCCAATCTTATTTAAGATAATAGCATGCCTATTGTAAAGGAACTTTCTGCCATTTGGTTGCTTACCCCTAGAATTCTTCTTAATAAATGAGAATGCCATCTAACCACTCACAGAAAAATGGCATACATTTGTTCAATAGTATTTGGCAGCCTGGGAGCAAAGGGAGTGAGGACAGCCAGTAACTTAGATCTAAGGCTGGAGAGTGGCAAGACAAGGGAGGGTTTTCAGAAAGGAGAGGCACAGATATTGTCCTTTTATATGGCTTCTGGGAGTCCCAGAGTGTCACAGAGCAGGGGATAACATGTTCAACTGTTAACCAAAAGGTTAGTGGTTTGAATCCCATCAGAGGTACCTTGGAGGAAAAGCTTGGCTATCTATTTCTGAAAAAATCAGATGGTGGAAACTCTATGGCACACTCTACCACTGTGACACATGTGGAGTCACCATGTGTTGGAAGTTAAAGTTTGGCTTTTTAGAAAAATATGGATTATGAAAGAGAATTGGCTTGTGAAAGTCACAGTTCTTTCTATCTTTAGATGCTTGTGGCTGCTTTTGCTCAGAAGGAATAATAGAGGTGAGCTGGGTCTGAAAATATCTGTATTAAGGTTCCTTCCTCCCCACCATCTCAAAATACCAAGCAGCCTCATTTTAATTTGCATATCCTCCAGGCTACAGGAAGTACTTTAATCAGTACTTCTAATTGTGGAAAAGAAGAGAACATGCCACTACCCACACAGGCACACAACTTGAGATGATGAAGAATAGCTATCTCCCACCCTAGGACTAGGGTGCTGGTTCCTCCATTGCGTTAGTAAGACACCAGATTGCTGGGCGGAAGTCAAGTCTTCACTGTTGTCAAAAGTCTCTTGATCTCCTTTTTTTTGTGTGTGTGGGGTTGTTGGTTATTTCTCTTCTCTTCATTCTTCATTCTTGCATTCCTTCTTTCCCACTTCTTTTTTTTAGAAAATGTTTCTGACAGTACATATTAGGACTTTTTGTATCATTACCCTCATTCTTAATGCCGTTGTACATATGGAATGTTCCAAAGACTGTTGCATCAGTGAGTCCTTCTGCTGTTTCTCATGTATTTTTCACTGTTCATCCTTACTGTGTATTTTCCTGAAGATTTTTTCCATTTGCCTGAATGATTTGTTCTGGACTTTGTGTTTTTGCAAATGTTGGAAAACCTGGGGTGGATTACTTGTCATTAAAGCTGCTGGTTGGGGCCTAACTTAGAGGAACAGGAGTCTAGAGATTCTCCTCTGAGGCTGCTTGACTTGGTGACTCTTCATTTCAACGTTGGAATAGGCTTTGTTGTTATGGTCCAATGGTCCAATGCAACAATTATGGATTCAGCTAGGAACCATGTAGAATATAAAACAAATGTAAGACAAGGCTTTTAAAGGCGTCTATACTTTCTCTTAGAGCTGACACATAATGGTGAACAATATAATGCCATGTATAAGAAGTGTTACTGTATAAAATAATGGAAGTGATTCTCCAGTTCCACTCAACCAAAGCAGTTTCTGAACTTCTCTGGTGTTAAAACTCGTAGAAAAGGCAGGAAATTGAGTGTTGCTGAGAAGTTCTGCTAGTACTGGGGGAAGAAGGAACACTTTGGAGGATTGCTTCCTGGAAGGTGGTGAGGCTTGAAGTTGTCCTCAGAGGATGAGTAGGATGTATATTTAACAGATTTTTTGTCAAGCAGTTCTAAGTTACAGAAAACCTGTGCAGGAAATAGAGTTCCCACACACCCCTGTACCCCTGTACATCACATCTCCTATGAACAGTTTGCATTCCTGTGATACTTTTGTTATCATAGATGAACCAATAATCAATACGGGTTAATGTGTTGGACTGCAAAGTCAGTTTGAATTGCAAGGTTGGTGGCTTAAGCTCACCAGCCGTTCCTCGGAAACCTATACAGGTACCTATCGGTTGGAACTGACTTGATGGCACTTAACAACAACATTGACCATAGTTTATGCTAGAGTTCACTCTTTGTGTTGTACCATTTTCTGGATTTTGGCAAATGCTCATGATTGTGTGTTGGAACCGACTCCATGACAGTGGGTTTGGGCTATACCATTACAGTATCATAGAGAAGAATAGTGTTACTTCCCTAAAAATGCTCCGTGCTCTTCCGACCTCCCCACCCCCCCGCTCAGAGGCAGCCATTGATCTCGTGAGCTGAAATTTAATGGGTAGTGACATCAGATTGCACACACCCAGAAGTGACATCAGCAGAGAACGAATGATATGAAAAAGGACAAGTCCCATTGGAAAGGTTAGGTTCAAAGGCCCTTAAGGCAGTTTCCTCCAGTGCTATTCTGAGATTCTGAGAGTACAGCAAGTGGGGGAAAAATTTCCTTTATTTTTCTGAGGTTCATCCATAGCTTGAGCCAGAAGGTTTTTGAAGCCTCAAGCAAGTCATTGTTGAAGGCAAATGGATTCTTTATTCTTAAACTTAATACCTCAATCTTTACTGACGTTTGCCCATCTAAGTCTCAGCCATACTCATCTCAGTCTGAGGTATGCTCAGGAGTTCCGGTGTGGTGCTGTGGGCTAATGCGTCAGACTGCAAAGCCATTTGAACTGCAAGGTTGGTGGTTCAAGCTCACCAGCTGCTCCTTGGAAACCCTAGACAGGGTCGCTATGGGTCGGAATCGACTCGACTGCACTTCATAACAACAGCATACCCAGGATACTTTGAAACAATGACTGTAACATCCAAAAGCATTTTACAATTGTCAGTTTCTTTGGTGTGGCACTGTAGAATAAAGCGCTGGACTGCTAAATGCAAGGTCTGTGGTTTAAACCTAGCAGCCTGAACAGGGAGCTCTGTATGTATGTAGAGGGTTGTTATGTGTTGGAACTGACTCGATGGCATTTGACAACAGCATGTCAAGCAAAGAGAACTGGTGTGGCAACCTCAAGGTTGGCAGTGTAAACCCACCATCTGCTCTTGAAAAACTTGCGTTGTTGTTAAGTGCCCCCTGAGTTCGTTCTGACTCATAGTGACCCTATAAAGGGTTTTTAAGGAGCAGCTGGTAGGTTTGAACTGCCAACCATACAGGGTTGCGATGATTCAGAACTGATTCGATGGCACATAACAATATCAACGTATCAAGCCAGAAGAGCTTTGGTGGCACTCTGAGTTTAGCATTGGGCTGCTGACTTCACAGTTGGCAGTTAAAAACCACCAGCTGCTCTGTGGGTCTGTTCCCATAAATTCTAGGAAACCCTACGTGGGCTCACTATAAGTCAGTGAGTGGATTTGTTTTTTGATTTATACCAAGTGAAGGAGGCACCAAAGGCACGTGCTTGAGCCAAAGAATATCATTTGTAGGTCACACCTTCGTGGCCCTACATCTGGTTGATTGCATGGCAAAACCTTCATGTCTCAAATTGTTAAATATGCAAATGTAACAACTACTTTCAATTTTCTTCCAGGGGAATTGATCCGTATGACAAGCCAAATACCATCTACATTGAACGGCATGAACCTTCTGGTTACTCTACAGTTTTCCGAAGTACAGACTTCTTCCAGTCCCGGGAAAACCAGGAAGTGATTCTCGAGGAAGTGAAAGACTTCCAGCTTCGGGACAAGTACATGTTTGCTACCAAAGTGGTGGTAAGTTGAACAAGCTAAAGAGTACACTTTAGATTTTCCTTTTTGAGGTTTGTCATTCTGTGATAAAACAGGTGAGTCTCTACAAATAGGATTTGAATGATATGCCTTGTGGGACTTGACTGGAGGGTGAGTTGGAAATTTCTTAACACTCCTGAAGAGCCTGGAAGGTTCTGTGAGGTTTGGGAACTTGAGGTCAGCTTTTTCAATGTGTTTTGAGGCCTTAGGAATTGAGTTGTACATGATGGTCAGGCATTCTTGATAAACACATTATTTTGTTAAAATCCTAATTAAAAGAACACAGAAAGGAGAGGTGGAGCTTAGTGGTTTTTTTTCCGTCTTCTTTTTTTTAATCCCATTGCCCAATTTCCTTTAAATTTAGGCTGATCTCTTTGAGATTTTTAGGCACATGTTAATTTACAAGGATAATAGGATGTGTAGTCATTGGCTAGTAGAAGTTAATTCTCAAAGAAAAGCAGTAATTAAGCTTCCAGCTGTCAGTAAGTAGCTTAACTCTCAGCCTTTGGGAAAATCTTCCCCTGATTTGATGTGTTGGAGCCAGATGCTGAATTTGAGGGCTTGCTCATTTAGAACCAGTGTAGATTATATAGCAGGACTTGCCTCATAACCATCAAGTTCTTTCTTTATTGCCTTTGTGTAAAGGATAAAAACAGGCCTGGCTAAGAGCAGGTTGGCTGCATTCCTGGGATAGGTGGGGGTGGGGATAAGAGGGCTTTCACTACAGGCTGGCTTTCTTAATGGCAGTCATTGACTTAGGCTCTTGAGAGACTGCTCTACTTTTTTGTCACTGTTAGCCTTAGTTTTCATTTATTTATATGATTGGTAGCAGGCCAGGCAGAAGGAGGTCAGCCCTTTTGTTAGAATTTAAGGGTAGAGAGCTGACCTGCCTGCTCCTCCTCACCAGAGAAAGCAAGGAGTAAGGTTTAAATGAAAAGAGGTGATGTGGTTGGCTAAAAGCAAGAGAGCTTCTCCATGACTTACTTTGAAGCTGTTTTATGAAACCGCTAACCAATGGCGATCTCTCAGACTGTTGATATTGACCCATAGACACTGGATTGCTTCTTTCTTTCCCATCCCCCAGCCCTACCCCTCCACACATACCCACAGAGCATCCCAAGAACACAAGCATCCTTGAATTACCTTGGACAGGGAATGCCCATGTGATGTCATGTTGGGAAATGATGAACTTGTCTCAAGTTCTCCACAAGTTTTGTGGTCTATTCTGTTGTAGTTCTCAGGCCTTAATTTGTTTGTCTGATTTTACTTTCTGGATTCTAAGGCACAGAGACTGATCCTCCTAATGTGTTCTACTTTTTGTCTGATTCAAGACTGAGAAAGAGAACTGTTGTACTTATCTTATACCCAACAATACAGTTAAACTGTTTCCACTAACAGCCATGGTTGCTCTCCAGACATAGCTGACTTCCAGTGTGTCTGTGGTGAGTTTTTTTTGTTCTTAATATGATTTAATTTTGTTGTTGAGCACATACACAGCAAAACAAACACCAATTGAGTAGTTTCTGCAAGTACCGTTGAGTGACTTTGATGACATTCTTTAAGTTGTATGACCATTCTGACCCTCTTCTGAGCTGTTTCTCTCCCATGAGCACACATCCACTAACCCCTAAGCCTCCTGTCTAATCTCTCAAGTTGCTGTTGTCAGTTTGATCCCACATACACTTCTTAAAGAGCATATGGCTCAAGGAAGTTAAGCTAAACTGTTGTTTGGTTGTAAGAAGACTTAAGGGGATATTTTTGGTGTAATGTTTAAAGATTATGTGATGAGTTTTCCAATATTCTTGACCAGTGGCAGGATATCTGTTTTCATAATTGATACTGAACTCAGTATCTTGCACAATACTTGGCATAACCCAGATGTACAATAGAGTTGGATGAATACCATCTCTGCCTTAGAATTTAAAAAAGCATAGGCTGATTATTTTTCAGTGGGTGTATTAAATTATTGGCCTGCAAATGCCCAGAATAACTTAAGAGGACTTGTTACAAATGTAGACTGTACCACCAAAATGTCTTTTTTTTTCCCAATGAGCACTAATGGCATGCCCAATAGTTAACCAAGTTTGAGAAACTCAGTGTTATATGTAGGAAAAATTGTTAAAAATATGAGTTGATAAGAGAAGAAACACAACTGGCAGGAAGTGTTATGATGGGTAATTTCCTCCTTTTAATTGCATTAGAATGTTAAACCACAGGATAAGCAACAACAAAAATCTGGTCTTGGTTGGTGTCTTAGGCTGGTCTCTCTAGAGAAATAAAACCAGTGCAACTTTTATATAATATTTAAATAATATATTATTGCTGCTCGTAATGTGTGTGTGTATATATATATATAGTTGTTAATTGCCATTGAGTCAGTTTCGACCCATAGCAACCCTGTAAAGGGTTTCCAAGGAGCAACTGGTGAGCTTGAACTGCCTACCTTGCAGTTCAAACGGCTTTGCAGTCTGGCACGTTAACCCACAGCGCCACACCAGGACTCCATATATATACATATACATACATACATAGGAGTCCTGCTTGGTATGATTCTGTGGGTTAATGTACTAGATCACCAAGTAGTTTGAGATATATAATCAATGTGTATATGTGTTAGTATATATGTGTATATGTGTGCCTATGTGTGTGTGTATACATGTGTGTATGGGTGTATATATCATATATATCTGTTGTTGTTGTTAAGTGCCTTCGAGTCGGAGCCGACCCATAGCGACCCTGTACAGGGTTTCCGAGGATGTAAATCCTTACGGGAGTAGAAAGCCTCATCTTTCTCCCGCGGAGCGGCTGGAAGTTTCGAACCACTGACCTTATACATCTATATATAATATATATTGTTGCTGCTCATAATGTATGTATGTGTATATATGTATATATGTATATATATGTTGTTAAGTGCTGTTGAGTCAGTTCTAACCATGTATAGAGTTTCTGAGTAGTGACTGGTGAGTTTGACCTGTCGACCTTGTGGTTCAAACTGACCTTGTGGTCTAGTGCATTATCCTACAGCACTACACCATATATACATATATATAAAGAGAAGTTTATATCAAGGAAAGACACACAGTTGTAGAAATTGGAGAGTCTCAAGTCCAGGCAGGCTAACCAAGACCAGTGGGCAGGCCCAGAAGGTAGGAATCACAAGTTCAGACACAGAGCAGGCTCTTGGTGCTGGAGCTGGGGCGGCAGCAGGGTGACTGTTGACCAAGGCCTGGCTGCATGGAGTTCATGAGCCAGGGTGACAAGAACAAGTGTGCAGGGCCTTCCACTGGGCATTTGGTTTTGCAGGCATACTTGGCAGGCAGACCTAGCAGGCAAACACACAATAGAGCAGGCTACTGGCTCAGGTTCAAAGAACCAGAGATTGAAGGATGACCCAGATTTGAAATCCAGATCCAGTGGGAAAGAGAGTGAGCCTTACACAGCCAAGCAGAGTTAGAGGCAATGACCCAGTGCTAGAACCCACGGAGCTGCGCATCTGGAGGGAGAGGTGTGACTGATTTTTCATCTTTATCTTTTCGCTTTCGACGTATCTTTCCACTTCACTCCAATTACTCCCTCACTGCCCAGCCCAGACACCTTCAGGCAGGCAGGAGCACACCCCTAAAAGGGTCCAGCATTGCACCTACAGTTTTCCCATGTCACAGAGAGAATCCTGCAGGCTGCTTCTTATGACATCTGACTCTGGAACCCAGCCCCAAAGCTGACCTGGGTGGGACCCTTTATCCCTGCCTGCACAGCAAAATCTACTGGACAGTCCACTATGATTTTATTTTTATTTTTAATTGGTGGTTTCTGTCTCTGCTTTTATATTGTTTCTGTCTTTGGTCCTTTTGGTCTCACTCTTTTCCTGGGGATGGGAGCTTTCTCCACCTACCTTACCCAAGAAGAGACAGCAACTGTTCTCATAAAGCCAAGCTACAAGCATACCTTGTAATATCCCACCATCTGGGTAGGAGTCAATACCAGCTGCTAGGCATTACACATGTAAAGGGAAGCCAATCTCCAGATCACATCCACCAGGAGACACTCAGCAAGCTTAACAACACTGCAATATACATTCATTTAAACATTAAAAACCCACATAACTACTGAAAACACAATTAAAGGTCTCAACAGATGCCCCAAAACAGAAAAAGTAACTAAGACAAATGAGCTGGAAGCAGACACAGACTTTCCAGTAGAAGAGCAAGTTCTGGATCTGCCTGAGAAGGAATTCAGAAGAATGATATGGAAACAAATTCAAATGCTCCATAAAGGGGTGGAGGAAAATAAGGAAGAAGTCAGGAAAGTGTTACAGGATCAATCAAACAAGATAGATACAGCATTGGAAACAATTCAAAACCTGCAAAAAGAGGTCCAGATGATTAATAATAAAATATCAGAAATGGAAAATACACTGAAAGGGAAAAGGAATAGAATTGAAGAGATGGAAGCCAGAACCAGCAAGCTGAAAGACAAATCTCTCAATACTGCTAAGATAGAAGAGAAAGCAGAAAAAAGGATAAAAAAATTTGAAGAGAGTCTAAGATTCATGCTGGATAACATGAAGAGGAATAACTGATGAATTATTGGCATTCCAGAACAGGAAGAATTACAGAAGTCCACAGAAGAGATAGTTGAAGAGCTGCTGGAAGAAAATTTCCCTGACATCTTGAAGGATGAGAAGATAAACATTCAAGAAGCTGAGTGAACCCCAGGAAGGATAGACCCCAAAAGAAAATCACCGAGACATATCACAATCAAGCTCTCCAAAATCAAAAGACAAGGAGAGAATCCTAAAAGCAGCCAGGGAAAAGAGAAGTGTTACTTACAAAGGCAAGCAAATCAGATTAAGCTCTGACTTCTCAGCAGAAATCATGCAGGCAAGAAGGCAATGGGGAGACATATATAAAACTCGAAAAGAAAAAAACCTACCAACCAAAATCATCTATCCAGCAAAACTGTCCATCAAATACGAAGGTGCA